TACTCGGTTGTTTAAATATACACGTCCTATTCCCTTCTACGAAACAACTGCATTCTGGCTCGACCCCGAGTGGCCTTTGCTTAATTGCGAAGGGCAATTAGGTAGTGCTTACCAGCAAAGGTGTTAACACTGAAAAGACAATTTCAGGCTTAGAAGGGTAGAAGGATACAATACTAGAAGCATCGGTATTAGCCAAAAGCCCATGCACACGTGTTCCGCCGATATTCTGTCACTGCATGGCAGAAGGCGTGTACTGGCTTCCAGCCAATACCTGTGCTGCTAGTATGGCATCCTCCTACTCCAAAATATACTACTAGCCGCCTGCCGGCAGTTAATGAATATTACGCGGTTATCCCGCCAAGGGTGACGGACTTTGATCCGAATATTCACCCATCAAATTTCGGTCTGCGTCTATAGAACCTAGAATATACTGTTATACTCCAAGTTCGCAGCTAATTTCTGAGGAAAATGAAAAGCAATAACCCTCATCTATTAGTTTTAGATGAAGATGCAAAAATGACACCGTTTTAATCTTAACAATCGGCTTTATATGCGGGATTTTAATCCATACTAATGTGATTACTGAAGAAAAGGCCAACTATTTACATATAATCTTGAGGTTTCTTTTAAAAAAACCACGGCGAATATCTCGACGAAAGGCGAAAAAATAACTATAATTCGGTTGTTTTGACTCGGACAACTTAGATTAAGACAATGAAAGCAAGACGCTGTCAAGTCCAGTTGCAAAGTAACTCCTAGGTCCTGGCCACATTGCTGTGATCAAAATCATACTTAAAGCTCTCATATGAACAAAGCGGGCTCCCGGAGACCCTCGACATGTGAAAGTCTAAATTACGGCTCTGCAAATAGATTGATATCTTGATTAGTTTACCGTAGCACTGAAAGGAGGTTTTGCTGACTGGCATTAAGTCAGTCACCGAGGCAGGGATCAATCGCAGGTTCATTAGAAGTTATACAATTTTTTATAAACGCATAAAAATCAAAATCAGCTAGCTGAACAGCCACTGTACTGGGGTGGGATTTAACAGTATTCCAGAAACCCATCATAAAATACAAGTGTCAACAAATGTTAAGGCATTCGTAACTTCATGTAGAACGTAGAACACATGCGTTCTTGAACGGAAACAGAAGACCTCAGGTGTCAGTGTGTAATCGGTGCTTAGTAGGGAAAAAGAATAGAAGCACCTGATAACGACGACCTATATCTCGGATCATGCCCTGTTACCAGTTCGTGCCATTATACATGTGTTCATATGGCCCTATCGGCAGTCTTCCTGTGTGGTGTGGACAACTGGTGGCTTCTGCAAATTGCTCGTTTATGTTCGCATACCCGAGAACTGAGTCACCATCTATCCTGCCTGTGAAGTTTGCAGGAGTGGTTGGGACACAACATATGATTAACCGCAGCCTACTTTCCACTTTTATCCCATTAACGTCTCGTCTATAGGACTTTAATACGAATGGTTGATCCCGGCCAACCGACTCGTTAGACACAATTTTATGGGGCAGTATGTTGCATCGTATGCACAACAGCCGAATGACCGAAATGTGGGTGGTTGCTTCTCATCTGCTCCACATGCAGGCATTAAAAGTTAATGGTCTCGTATGTCGTTGCTTTGTATGGGACTTTACGCACAAGTGTAGTAGTGGACGTGACACCCTAGGATCCGTATGACTTTGTCGCCTTACTGTTCATTGGACTGTCCGGCTGAGAGAATTCTGAGGAGGGGCAACTACCGCTATCTTGCTAGCTTGCTTTTGAAATATGCAAAACCGGGAAAATCAGGGAATATGCTCTGCTTAGTGTCAATGGATTCAACTTTAATGTGCGAGTCTCATAAAAAGGTCCCACATTAGCTTCTACGATCTTCTGCGAGACTCACAGGACACTTCCCGCAGATTTAGTGGAGAATGAGAAATAAACAGCGTGTGTGTGTGCCCACTTCATCTGGTAGTACTTTCAATCACTGAATGTAAATAACTCAGCGAGACATTCGGTCTTAGCGGTGATGGTTAGCTCTGCCAGGGAGTTCTCTAGGCATCTACCTCACATATGCACCTTCAAAGAATAGTGGACCGACGTTTCACAAAGTCTTGCCGCAGAATAACCACTTCTAGGGCCATGCGGTGCCGGAAACTAAATAATAGTGGCGAGGCACCGATCAAACAAAAATGTTTTTTTCTGCAAGCAGACTCGTGCCCGGCACTCAACAGGGTTTCCTCAGTGCCTTGGCAGGATGACATCCAGCACCTCGCCTGCACCGTATCCCTGAAAATCACCATGACTGTGCAAAGCTTAGACCGTGGAATCTGGGGTCAAGAAAAATTAACACTGGTCCTAAAGAAAGAAGGAATAGGGGATACGCGTTATTTTTAAATTGGCACAAATGACCTCACATATTTTTAACAGGGTCTACATTTACAAATTATATAAAAGCATGTAGATTTACCTAAAAATAAACATGAAAGTACAGTTCAAATATCAATTTTTGTATTTCGCCTTTCTAAACACGTAAGGTAGTTAACTTAAGATGGCAATAAAGAATGCTGATATGCCGATGTAGGTAATAGGTATGCTGGACACCGCAACGCATAGGGGGGGGGGACTCAAAAAAATAGTTCAGAAAGAAATGGATGGATATCAGCATCGGAAATTTCCGTCAGCTAATTGTTTGACCATCGTGAACTTTCCTAGTAAAATAATCGGAAAAAAAACCTTGAGAGCAGAAAGGAGCATCCGTTCTGAAATAAACATGCATTTTTAAAGAAAGGCAGAAAAATCAATCAGAGGAAAATGCGCGCGTCTATATATTTTTAGACTAGGGGTTGAGGTCTGTGATAGGAAGATAAACGACAAACATAATTAAGGAATTTGCGAATTCTAAGGAAAGTTCTTTCAGTATAAGGAGAGAAGGAGAGATTTAAGGATATGATACCACCAGCGTGCGGAAAAGGGGATCTTCCACCAGGAACAGTGTCCTAAAATACAGGAATAGGAGAGGCTCGCAGTCGAAACATACGATGGACTGATGTGTGGTTGTCGGGTGGGAGACCAGTCTCCAAAGTCCATGCAGAGATTTGATCCAAGCCAAATGATTTCACTTTTCAAGCGGACAACTAACGGTTATATCGTCACTTGGCAAGCTCAGCTCATAATGGGGAGGGGAGAAGTGACGGCGGGATAAAATTGAACCTTCGAACGACTGCCTTATTGGGTCGATCCAAAGTAGGCCTCCAATAGGGCCTTCCCTCGTGGATCGAAAGGCACAGATCAGTAGACTGTCGATGTGGGCTGACAGTCCACAAACGTAGACGCCTACGACAGTGCAGCTGCTGCTTCCTCTCTGCTTTCTTCCTTTGTGAACTGAATGCCCTTGAAAATATTGTAAAGACGTTTGTGGAAGCACGTTAATCCATAAACGTTTAATCAATGTGCCGGCGACAAGATGTGGTTATGTGAGTATCAGAAGTGTATTTACCCATGTTCCTGGGAGCCATTTCCGCGTCTTAGAAGCCCGCCGCCAATCCCTTCATCTAATTGGCCCGTCAAGCTATTGAAGGTGGGAGTAAGGCATTGACGGAACTTAGGAAGATTATACTGCGAACTTGAAGTATCTTGTATTTGTTTTTAAGTCATATGCGCTAAGAAGATACGGTAGATGAGGATGGGGAAACTACGTCGGCTATTTTTTGGTCAGTTGAAAGTGCCGGAAGAATGGAGATCTCTGTACACCACCGAAAGAAGTCCTTTCTCCGAACATATAGTTGATTAGATTTCAAGTAGAACTTATTTGCTGCGAAACAGTTGCTCAAAGGCTTTAGCCATGCATTTTTGGTCACCCACGGAGCATGGACAAGGTTTCGTTAGTTGGGTGTTCCTGGGGACCGAAATTTAAAAAATACTTCTCTCTGGTTAGAGAAAATATTTACCATAACAGGTGACGTAATAGGGCAGTGACGTTCGCCCGCTAACATGGGCTCAGAAAACAGTTTGTCTGGAGAAGGACTTAATTAAAGTGTGTGTTCTTACCCACGGTCTTCATCACTTTGAAGCATTCATCACTGGTGTTCTTAATTATAAATAAACAGTTGGCATAATATCACTCTAGCTTTTTAGAGTGGGTGGAGATATGCCTTGAAAATCTTCCTTCTAGTTTTCTCAGGTGCTTAAAAAATGTCTCGTTTATTTTATTGACAAGGATCGGGCGAAGACCTTCAAGCATTTGCGGCATGCAATAATACCTACTATACTTATTCAAATTGATTTAGGTCCGTCTGTTGCAAACGGCCTAGTGCATTATCTACAATGACCTCAGCTCAAAGGGTTGAGAAACGATCGATGTAGACAATCTGGTGGACTGTCTACAATCGCAAAAAAGATATCCTAACTCCCTATATTTATGAAGAAAGATCCAAAGCCACTTCGTGCAAAACCCATCGGCCTATGACGTACTGATGATCGGTGACGACGGTAAAACAGCTGTCTGTGTCTAGCGTGTTGCACTCTTAAGGAGCTGTCTGTATAGTCCTTTGATATAAGCATTTCATGAAACGCAGAATTAATAATTAAATACTCGTTAGCGAGATATACATTATGCTGAATTGTCTGGACACTTGACAACTATAACGGTTAAAGTTATTTCCGAATAATCGTCAGATCATATTACATTTCTTGATGCCGCGCGCCTGCAGGATTTAATTTTTTTGCCAAGAATATTCCGCCATCTCACCCCTTCAGTGGCCCGGTCGGGAATAGTGCACGGCTGCTCCATCGTTCAAAGGCTGTGTTGGCAGGCTGTGCTCGCATCTGATTGGCCCTTCAGGAGACAACGCTCGCTGACTGGTTCTGCGAGAATCATAAAGACAGAAGACAACAGACAAACCTGCCGACATCGAGTTACACCATGGCGTCTTTCAGCTATGCAGGGACCGTGCAAGGTGTCATGAAAATAATTACCTTCGTTATTGGCCTGATTGTTATGATTATCATCGCAGCCCGCATTAACGTCCATTGGAGTGAAGGCGGCTACATGCTCTTTGCGTCTCTTTTCGCCTGGGTGTTTGCCCTACTGCTTTTCCTCCTTCATATCTTTGAAGTCGGCGAGGGCAGCACCTTCGAAATCTTTGTAAGCACCACAGAGTTTTACCTTTTGCAAAGTTCTATAAGTTTAAACAACAGCTAACTATATTTAGGCCATCGTGATTGTGCGCTAAATGACACTCTAGTAGTGAACACTTACACACTACTGTGACGAACAGTCATCAGCAGTAGACAGTGTTAGACGGATTGAAGGTGAACACAGCTCTTGGAGCAGCCTTTTGGCATAAAAAGGGGCGAAATGAAGAGAAATTTGAAAAAAAATATGTGAAAAAAGATCCAGTCAGTTTTAGGAGTTGTTGCTCTTATAGTTAGTCAGCAACTAAATGTAAATAGTATGAACCAGACAGTCTAGGCTGAAACAGCCATAGCGATCGTGTTCCAGGGAGCACATAGACTTTGGTTTGATAATCTCTTGTGATATGGCGGTAATGGATGCAGAACATATACTAGAGATTTAGTTCCACTGACGAAATTGACGAGCTATGAAGACTAAAATGGATTCCTTCTTAAAATCAATTAGCCCTAGAACGTAAAGAAATTAAAACTCTTGTACGTTTGTCCAATTTGTTGCTCTAGGCAGCTTCCTAGAGCTGATTAGTGAACTTGTGTACATGTCGTTCATCTGGATATAAAAAAATTAAACTTATCTAAATTTATGAAAGGGTACCAGTAAATCAAGAGCTGGTTCACTGTCTAATCAGATGTTCCTTCAGCTGGAGTGCTTAGACAGGTGCCCTGGAAAGGTCCTTGACAAGGCTGTACCTTGGTCCGAGCTGTCTACAGTTCATTCCCCATCTACACTTTATGCATATTTTACAGGTGCTCATGATTCAGAGTACTAACTTAGAATTTTTGACATAGCTGATTATGTGACTTAAATTTTCCAAAGGATTATTCTGCAACTATTCTTGCAGGAGGCGGTTATTCTAGCACTGACGGTCATCTTCGTCTTCTGTGCCTTCATAATCGCTGCAGTATTTGCAGGCCGGACACACAATGGCTTTTTAACGGCTATTACGGTAAGTGAACACAATTCACTGACTTACTGACTTAAGAAATTATTCGTTTTACAGAACCCGGATGAACAAAAACGTTCAACTAAGTATAACAATAAAACAGTTCAGCAGTTCAGAGCAAAAATATTATCAAGTGGGAAGCAGTAAAACGTGTGTTTTTTAGACGTCAAAGTATACGAAATGTTTCTCACTTTAAAAGCTAATTTTAGCATAAAGATGATTTCTCATAAGGTCCGTTAAGCCCACAGCGCACACATACGCGTATAATGAATATAGAATCTACAATTGCTACGGTATGCCTTTTTACTCTGTCACAAATCGCCGCCTAAGTTTTCCAAAGCGGGAAAACTTGATTTGGTTTAAAAGCACCACAGTACTAATCATTGCCGATACGGTGGTGATGTATGCTTTGTTAAACAGGCATTAGTGACTGTTTGCATGAATTTTGGACCGACGGTCAACATGGCCAGGCTCAGTTTTCAAAGTCACAATTAGAATAGTAAACAGTTAATTCGCTATTTAAAATTGCCAATGACTTTTTTTGACGTATTTTAGGTCTTGTTCGCGGTTACCCTTATCAGCTCCGTAACCGACTTCGCCTTTCAGTTGAAGAAAATGCTTTGAGAAAAAGCGGAAGGTGTTCCACCCCACAGACTTGCGACTGCCCTTCATAGGAGGCTAAAGTCTCCATGTGGCGCAATTCCATTTACTCATTATACGCGAATACATATTCAGTGTATGAAAACTTCTTTACTTAAGAATGTAAAATGACCCTGTGTGAAAGCAAATCCGTCCAAAACTTGGTCCGGCCAGTAGTTTTAATGAACAGTTTATGCAGTAACGGGAATTTAGTCTGCAGGCCGATCGGGAAATTATTGGCAGGGCATGAAGAGTTGCTATTTCACATTTGCCGAACGCACAGAATATTTAAATGGTTCAAAACGTAATTGAAAATTTTTGGGGTCGTTCGCGCATTTATATAGAAACCGTTAGCTTTAAATTCTAACCGTCTTCACAGTGGTACTTCCTATGCAATTTAAATATCGGACTGTGGAAAACATTCGAAGTGCTTAACGGAATCACTCTGCGCATTCTTTTTAAATACGTACTTCCTAGAGACAAGTGTCGTGTTTACATACAGTCTGGTTCTTAGCTTACGAAAAAATATGTACTGTGAAAAGAAATCCTAATTGGTTAACACGTGATAAAACGGCAGTATCCTGGAACGTTTCGTAGACATTCTGTGACACTGACAGTCTTGTTTTGCGGCGTTCGGGTTTCTGATCAAAGGAACCATGTAAAATCGGTGCCTTCTACTTTACTAGGCGGGAGTGCAACCTAAATCAAAGGTACCCCTTTCCGAAACTTTCATTTATGCTGCAAAATTTGTTAGCTGATTACCTCATAAACATATCTTTTGGGTAGTATCCGTTGAACAAAATGCTAGGTGCACTCTGTTTGCCGTATGCAGGATAAGTGTTTACTTGAGTGCCGTTTGGTAACATTAAGCCGTTCCTATCGGTTGTACAGGTGTCTTTGAACTAGCGAATTCAAAAGAATGCGCGGGTATGGGACCATGTTAGGTCACTATCACTTCATGTGACTGATTACATATCTGAGAGGACCTGTAGTCGACAGACTGAGCTAACATAATCATGCTAACATCACCGGAGTCACTGAGTGCGTCTTGCAGTAGAGAGGTGCAAATGTCCAACGAAAGAGACAGTCAGTTTGATAATTGGAACGAAGGTCAACCATTATTGCTTAGGGTGAAGAGTCATTGACTCTCCCATGCCTTGTAAATGAGCAGCATATTCTATCATGTCTGCCCTATTGTCCGTGGACAATGATTCCTCCATAAAATCTCCGCCGTCGCCTACGTTTTGGCTCTGCCTTGCCATAAAGGCAAACATTAAGTACCAGCTAGTAGGCTGGGTGTCTAACTGACAACAGAGAGCCCACTTATAATGGAAGATGCCGCTATTGACAATCAAGCACTATCTGGTATTCTTAGGATGTTAAATACGACTCATTACTAACCAACGACGACGCCCAACATTAAAAGAAGTCGTCTGTCCACTAACAAGCAAAGTCCACATGCAGTGCTTACACATGATGTACTCCTGCCAGTAAAATTACTTGTTAGTAATAACTCTTATCTAATCCAAATCTGGCGGTTACAAATGGGTCTAAAAAAGTAAGTGTGGTGGCCTTATGTCAAAATAATCGCACTGTGGAGCCTGTTTAGCTTGACAGGATGAAATAAACAAATACCCACGAGGGGTTGTGGTACTGTCGGCCTCGATATTCTGTCTCTCGACAGGTTAAGCATATTTTGACCGCTGTTCTTGTCATGCCAACTCCTCAGTGAAGTATTTTAGTAAGACGCTAGCTTGTTTTGTGAGCAGAATATAGGATACCTGGAAGTCGAGCTCCAAGGTTCCTTCTAGGCACTCGCCCTGTCACTGATATTTGTGGTTGCCGTTCACGCAACGACGGCAGGTTCGAGGGAGACAACGAGGTCTTTACAGGCAAACCGGTGCTGACAGAACAGTGACTCCCTACGTGACAGTATATTGTCTGAGTTTTCAAAAATAACATGGTTAAACCAACTTGAAGCAACGGTTTTAGCTTTCCAGAACGAATGGCAACATACAGTAGATAGGTCGGCTCATGAAATGTCAAACGAAATTCCGAAATGCATTTTCGTTTCGAAAAGATTGATTAAGAAGTGTTGTACAACTAATCATGTTACAGCGTAATTCTATAATAATTCCGTTACTCCAGGAGGCAGACTTTTGAAAAAAGTTCCTTTTGGCCGCACGCATAAACTATACACTTTAAGAAATGGCTACTTGAGTAGCATACATTTTTCTCGTTGATTTTTCATGCTCTTACAATTTAGCTATATTTCATGGAAAACATGCATAAAAATATTCCTTCTTTTACTAATTCCGTGGACACGTACGTCTAATTCCATTTTTATACTCAAAGAAAGGTTATGATTCGGTCTTAAAAAAGTTCATGATCGTGAGATTTTTAATACCGTAAAATCTCCGTTCATACAACATCATGTCACTGAATTTACCAATGTGGCTTGTAAAGTTAACAATAAGGACCAAGTCCACAGCTAGATTTTATGAACCCCACATAGTCTCCTCCTAATACCATAGAGAAATATGTGGTTTTTCAAACGTGGAAAATATACGACTTGTAGTTTGGCAACCCCGAATGCAAATATAACGGCAGGTCGAGTTCAAAATGATTCGAGAATATGACATGTTTTTTTTAAAAAATAAAAGACGTGAGTTTCTACCAAATGAGCAAAAGATTACATATCTGTATGCAAGTTTGTCATGAAATATCACTGAATTTTTAGGTGAATCGAAAATCAGTGAAAAAAATCCACGCCAATTAATTTGTCACGTTTTGCAAGGCACAGTCTTTGCATGCTGCTCAAAAGAAGTTCTTTCGAAGGCCGGCATCCTGAGGTAACTGAATTATTAAAGAATTACGCTGCAAGGTGATTAGGTGTACAAACCTGCTTGAATAATCTTTTCGAAACGGAAACGCATTTCGCAATTTCTGTCGACATTTCACAAGTTAGCCCACCTACTGTAAAGAGTGCTGGTAAGATGTGGCATAATCGTTCGATGTAGATTTTTCGTAGCGCGTTGTTAGCTTTTTTATCTTGAACTAAGGGGGAGAGGTCACGTTAAATATTTTCTGTGTTTGTCGATACATTCACCTGTTACAATTGGCGGTCTCGACCGTCGAAGTGCGCAATGTTCTTGTCCAAACATCATGATTGTCAAACAGCGATCGAAGGCCGATCTTCTTACCTAACCGGGTTCATTCAGTCAGCACCTACTTATAAATCAGCTCTGATCAAGTCTTTAAGCTGGCCTCTCAGGCGCAGAATTACCGTGGAGAAACAGTGACCAAACTATTTGGTGACAGCCTAATCAAGGGCTATCCGCTAAAGAGAAGCATCCCTGTACCTCAAGGCACTCCACCGACTCTCAAATTTTTTGTACATCTAGAAATTCATTTTTGCGCCATTTCCGCTCACAGTTTCACAAAATTCCGTCATACGCTTCAGTCAGATATCGACTGCCGTTTATAATCGCCGTACACTGACCTCCAAATCCCTCACAGTTCATAAGCCACGGCCCCTTGTTGAACTCAGTTATTATCCACTTCCGCTTAAAAGCATGCTTATTTTGTAAACAAGTATTGAAGTCTGTTAAGTTGATTAATCGCATAATATACTGGTCTGATGTCCAACTTCTGCTAACGATTGCCCTCCAAGGTTGGTAGATCGATAGATATTCAGGTATGATACTCAAACGCAACTTTTTGTTAGTACTAAAGCATGTACTAATTAGCTGGTTGACTTCTAGGTGACTTCTAGGTGGAATAACTAGGAATCACCATGTCCTCCCACATATTAAACATTATCAGCACATAAATTACGTTGGTCTAAAGTGAGCAATATGCGAGCTTAGAAGCAACTTTTGGACGTTATGAAAGCATAGAAGCTTGCAACCTCCTGACTGTTGCGAACACACCGCCTCACAGTACCTAAGAATGAGGCCGTCCGTACAGTTTCGGGAATTACACAAAAAAGCACACTTCATATTCAGCAGGCTCCATTTGAGGTTAACAAAATATAGGTGGGGGTTCGGGGAGGAGGTGATGGGCTTCGACAATTGTTCATCTTGTCAACGAAGTTTTGCCTTGTGATTGCACAAACGGCAAATGTGAACGTAGACCTAAGGTTCAATGTCAGTCAGTATATGAGGTGTGCGTTGAAATTCCCCGTCTCTGCTTTCCAATCGAACAGAATTGGCCTTGATGACCATATTCTATGCGTTCTAAAAAAAGAGGAGGCACAGCAAAAGAGGTACTCAGATTGGGAACGTGGAGAGATCCACGGTGATGATCAGATAAGGAGGATGGACTCGTCAGAGCAAATACTGACGTTTGAGAAAACATGGAGAACTCACTACTGTTAAGGCGTTAAACGCTGGAAATTGAACAGAAATGCAAGTGGCGCGACAAGCTCGAAAACAGCTGCCTGTCATGAGAATCATCTGGTCGGTGAATTGCCGTTGTGTCTCTGAGTGAGGTTGATCGGCCTGATAACTCATATTTCCTCAGAGTGAATTCGTCGTCGATCCGGGTCTACACTATTTTCTGTGTGGTAATCTTGTCAATGGCGAGTCGACCACGCCCTGCACAACGTCAGCATTCCCTTACTATATTTTCTTGCAGTTCCTTAAATTCTTTCGGGTCCGAGGGGTGTAGTTGACATCTGTATTAAACTCAAAGCGGAGAATATTCCAGGGAGTTGGATTTACAATTATCCCAGTGACAGTGAGCCAATTTGCCGAGCAATCGTCGCACCAGCAGTCTGCACGCATGACGAAATCACGGCAATTAACGTGTCGGACACGGACTAACAAGCCACCACCGCATCAACTACGACCCCAGCGGTGGTTTCGAGAACTGTTAATTAAAGCGCGCATATGGTCCCACAGCAGTCACGTGCTATAAATGCTGCACCCCCTGCCACCATCACCTTTATCTGCGACTGTCTCTGATGATGTATTCGATTGAAA